AGGTAATTCATACAAGTATCACAGAAATCAGAAATCTGTTCCAGCTACAAAGTTATTCACAACTTTTCCCAGGATAAATGTTGTAATAACAAAGCATATTTATTTAGATACTCATACCCTGATTCCCAACCTCTACCCCAGCAGGGAACCAAAGTTGGCCCTTCTTATCTAAACAAGTAACAAAGCAGCATATTGGCATCACCAAAGTTGCTCAGGCAAAGAGACAGTTTAGAGAAACTAAAGTGTACTTTCTCATTTGAAAGACATGCTTTCCTTCCCAAAATGGAAGACACAAAGGATAATTAATGGAGCCATATTTTCAAGAACTGTAGTTCAATAATAAGTGGCACAACCCTATTTCTATAGTGTCAACAGGGTTAATGACAGTGGCCTTTGTACAGGACCATCAAAGACAACTGGCTTAGTAGATGGTACATTAGGCTTTTAAAAGCTGTCTAATTACAAGGACCCTTAAAACACTCTTTAGGTAAGAAAGGACAGAAACAAATCACTTACCCATCATGGAAAAAATGCCAGTTTTCCCTTGCCCTGACCACCACCACCCCCAGTAGAAGAAGCATGCCCCACTCTTTTGAGCCTCCACCCGACATTGCATTCATTTTTAGCATGATTTGTGGAGCTCCCCAGGCTTTCCCCTTTGCTCCACCTGGCTAATAGGGCAGCAGCTGTAGGCAGAGCTAATAAATGTTTTATTTACAACAGTTAAAACAGAATCGTCCCCAGCATTTCACATGCATTATTATCACTGTAAGGTAGGGAGAAAGGTGAGCTAAGGGCAATTTGAAGTTGATGTGCTCCCCATTTGGACTTTTGACTGATGTGTTCTAGAAGTTCCAATCCGGGAATTCAATTCCAAGACTAATGTGGGCCCAATTCAGATTAGGCTTTCCCCATGGACCATTTTAATAACCAAAAAAAGCTCAGGGAGCCCCTCCTTCCCCACTGGGCTGATGTAGCCATCAGTTACATGTTATATTATTTATGGGGCAACTAGTGGTTGCCCAGGGCCATTTCAGATCAGAAAAAAGTCACTGGGTGGGGGGCTTGCCTCCCCCCCCCCACAATCCAAACTGAAACCATGCATGCTTGGGAATTATGTTCTCAGTGGGAAACTCCAGGCACACATCTGCTCCATAGTCACTGTAAGGGTCACATGTCCACCACATGGGCTTTGTACCATATTAATCAGTCCTCAAAGAGTCTTTAATAAGTAATAAGGTTGCTTCGCCATGGGAATTTTTCTTGCCACCATGCAGAACCAGCCAATGTTATTGTTTACCAAAGACAGACTACCCACCATGTCTTATGATGACCCCTGTGAGCCATGGGGGAAAGAATAACTGGATCCCTCAGTCTCTGAAGGTGCACACCTAACAGAGCAATTAATGGCTAGAACATCAGTCTAGGTCCAATGTTCAAACACCTACTCAGCCATCAAGCTGCCTTGAACCACAAGGAAAGGTGGGGTATAAATGTTTTAATAAAATAATAAATATAGCAAACCTAGGTATTTTAGGCAAGTCACTCTCCCTTGCCCTAACTGACCACACAGAGTTGTAAGAATAAGATAAGGGGAGGAAGAATGGTATACACCACCCTGAGTTGATCTGTTGAAGGAAACACACAATCGTGGTGTCTAATTTGTCACCCGATGGAGGCATGGTGTTCCTAGCAGCCTAAATCTCACTAGATAAAGCTCCATCCATGAAAACAGGAACTACAGAAATATTACACCTACTCACCCAGATCACTACCCCCATCCTCAGGAAATAACATTAGTGCTCCATATTACATGTGTGAAAATTATTAGGACCCAAGAATCCTTTCTCTGTGCCTAGTATAAACTTGTAAGATAGTGTTCACATGTCCTGTGAACCTCAAAAGCCATAATTTATTTTCTTTTGGAAATGACAGAAATAGTTTGGCTGCTAGGAACATGATCAACCATTGCTGCATATTAACTGGAACAAAACATTTGCATTTTCAGTACTCACACATCATTTTTATGCCAGTCCAAATAAAACTTGACCATATGTGTCAATCCACTTGAAATGCTTGGTGCGTAGATAAATTTTATAAGGTTCCATTTTATACACTCTTGAAAAACAGGTGTAATTTCACACACAAAAAGCTCAGATTTAACTGTTCAAGGAGGAGAGCAAATTGTTTAGATTTTGAAGAGCTGAATAAAACCCTGAACTACAACTGAAGCTCAGTGAAATCTTCCAATTAATACAAAACAGCCTTTTACAAAAACAAAACAAAATTCCACACCCTGGACTGTTAACATGATCATCAGTTGGAGGCAACTGACACAAAGGCAGAATGGAAGGTTACTTTAGAGTTCACCGTAGATCACATGACTCACATCGTAAGGCCTAGTTCATACAAGCAGAGACCTGAGGCGGCCTGTATTGTTTCAGCAAGGGGGCAGAGCATAGCAGACTCCTCTTTGTTAAAAACTCACTTGAAACTAGAAAACCAACACAGTAAGAGCCTATGTCCCTGCTGTCCTAGCTTTCTATTCCTTTGGTATTTGTGTGAAAGAACATTCAAAACTGAAATTGCCATGATGCATTCTACCATGATGCATTTTCTTGCATGAGTGAATCAAGCCATAGAGTCAGGGTCAGAACAGAACCATGGACAGTCCAGCATGACCCCACAATTTCTAAAGCTCAGGATACATCTCTGAGGCCACTTTCTGTATATAATCGGAATCCTGTACTTCAAAAGCATCCAGTGTTGTACACTCCTGTCTCCATCTGTGCCTGACAACAGTTCCCGGGTATGAGAACGTACAACCCTACACAATTTACTAGGATAGGTCATCTGAAACCATGATATAAGACCTCAGGCTCTGACATACAGATCAGCAACTGAAGGCCCTGAGGATCAAATCTGACTCACTGGGAAGTATGAAATTCAGCCTTCGGTTATCGATTCAAAGGTCAGAAGATGGTATGGTGGGTGTGGCGATGGATTTGCTGGCTCTACAGACTAACACTCTACCTCTCTCCTCCTCAGAACTAGGCCACAAGCAACACTAGTCAGTGAGCAGGATAATAAAATAATATCACCTGTCTTACCAGAATTCAAAGCAATTCTCAACAAATTCCAAAAATCGTGATATGTGATATATGCATTAACAACAGACAGCATAAAACAGGTACAGTTCACTAGAAATAAGGACATTTTAAAAAGTTAAACATCTATGCAAACAATAAAACCAGACTTGACTCCCAGTATTCATGCTGGTCCTGGCAATTAGCAAAGCAGGCAAAGTGATATCTTTATTAGGCTCAGTGTTGCCAACAAAAAATACTTCCACATTACAGCAAAAGTCTGAAAATCAGTGGATGCTGTTGTGAAGATGTGAATGTCAACAAGCCAAGATTGAATTTTTGGTAGTTTACAAAATGAAAGACACGTCAATTAACACTGACAGACACCTCGATGTGACTGCCAGCATTCACTGATATATGTCCCAACAGTGAGGAAATATGTATTTTCAGACATTCACCCCCAAAATGTTGGGGTTTGCCAGAGCAGAAGTTTAGAATTAGCTTCCTTCACATTTTGCTCAAAGTAGAGTCTGTAGAGTTGTACAGTTTCCCTACTTAATACCAGGCTTATTGGAGAAACAAAGACAGACCAAGTATCTTAATAACAGCTACAAAAGCCATGCTGCCCAGTGTGTTCAGACATCTCGTAAAAAGGCACTTTCCTTCTTTCTCCATTAATTCATTTATATCTAGACGGTCAAAGGAACTTGCAAGGGAAGCAGTTTCCTTATGAAAGTGGATAACTAGCCTAATCATCATTAACTGCTACTATGGCAAATGTGCCCAAACTGTGCTTTAATAAAATAAAATAGCTTTCAGATGGAAGCAGAGACACAGAGTGACTGCAGCATAGATTACAAGATCTGCTGACATTTGTTCCTTTTATTCATCAAGATCAGAGAGCCAGTTTGAAAATAAATCATCCTTCCCGAATTTGGGACAAGCCCCTTTCTCCCAGAGTGAAAGTTTTCAGAAGGGAAGTCGGGTTAAGCAGCGAAAGAAAAAACCTTCACATCGTCTGCATTAGAAAATGAATAAAGTGGCAAAATTTAGTGCAACTGCATTTTATTGTCAACCACCTTCTCCTTCCAAGCATTTTACAATCTGGTTTCGTGGGATATCTGCTCAGCCTCCAAAACCCATAACATTTTAAAAATGGCTATTAGCCCCTATTTCTGGGAGAGAAAAGACAGAAATAAAAGTAGTCCTTGAAAGCAAACTATGGGAGTGCCATTTGTCAAGGCCACAACAAACTTTACAGCTGGTGTCTGCACACATGGTAAAAGGGAGACATAATGCCATTTCAGATGTGTGCACCAGCTCTATACAGGTGCGCGGCCATAATATTTAGTATGTGAAAGCGCCTTTATTAAACAGGCAATTTTCTAGCGCAGAAGAGTCAGCAATGCGCTACAGCAGGTTAGAGTGGAAAAGTCATCCCTGGAAGCAGCACTCTACATCAAGATTCAGAGTTGGCAATCTGTCTATATTTAGCATGCTCATTTACTATACTCACACACATAACACCATGCTCTCTCCTTTCAGGGAAAACCCAGCTTTATAGTAGCAGGAGAAATGCAAAGGGCACCCAGCTACCCTCAAAGCCTCCATAAAACATGTAAGCTGTAAAAAAAATGACTTCTAAGAGAGCTCCGTATAGACCGGCATAGTTTCCAAGGTTACAAAGTCAAATTCCTTATATTCAACGAGAACCACCGGGCACATCCTGTATCAAAGCAGGGAAGTCGCGGCATAACATTCTGAGCCGATTTCTATGGAGGTCTTCTATTAAGGATATTAACCGTTACCCTTCTATTAAGAGTTTTAACTTTTAAGAATCAAGTTGCCTTAAAAAAATTATCTGATGAAATTAGCCGGGGGGGAGGGGAGGAAAGGGGAGACAATCCCACTCACCGAAATCTGACTGCAAATCCTTTTTCAGCCCACAAAGCATGTCTGCTATTATCTATCAAAGCATTCAGCTCAGCTGCGAGAGGCGCTCCTTTCTCTGCTTCTTCGCCTTGGCAGGCGCGGGAATCACATTACAGCAGCCTCGCTCCCAGGCCGTCTCCCACCCGAGAGCAGGGGTCCCCCTGCCCAGAGGAGACGCTCCGCCACTTAAAGGGAACAAAGTCCTATTGAGTCCCTCTGGAGTGACACCTAGCAGATGCTCTGCTCGAGTCACAAAAACGGAACAAGGGAGGCTCCAATCAGGCTCTCAGTATGGTACAGTTTGATAAAATCTAAATTCAGAATAAAGCAGCTTTTTAATAAAGAAAGAAATCCCGCAATAGATCTATCACGCCGCTTTGCCACGAGGCGTGAAAACGGAGCAAGAGTTCCGAAAGGCCGGCATCAGAAACGAGCCGCTAGCTGAAGGGGCAACGGCGAACAGGCACGCCGGCTCCTCCCCAACCCACACGGCACACGCTCCGCGGGGACTTCACTTCCAGCGGCATTCCAACTTCGACCACGTTGCGAGAGAGCAGCCATCATCCCGCATGGGAGGCGAGCGCTCGTCTTTCCGGCGGAGCCTTTTGTTGGTTTCGCCCAGAAATTCAGCACGCTCCCCGGGGGATTCGGATTCCTGGGCTGTGCCTCTAAACCCGGGGACCCTTTCCCTCGCTCAGTCTGGCAGCCGCACGCGTTGGACAGGGACGAACGCGTGCGGCAGAAAATCTCCCAAGTTGCAGCAACATTTCAGAGTGCGAGGAGAGAGGGCGACCGCCGGCGCTGCAGTGCTGCTGTGTGACACTCTCTTTCCTCTCCCCCCCCACCCACCTCCGGCAACCGACTGCGCGGCCTCCAGCACCTTTCAAGGCAATGTCAAGCCGCTGCCTGAGCATTATGCTCCCTCCCTCAACGCAGGCACAGGAGCAGAAAGCCTGTCCAGCACATGTGTCCATGACTCGATTTTAACTCTCCCCGGGAGGGCAAACTGGCCACCGCCGCACAAGTTGACAGGGCCCAGTCTCTGCTCTCTCAAAGTCACAGGGTTTGAAACAAAAGACAACGGGGTTCTGAAGGGATAGGCTACACAAAGAAAAGGGGGGGAGAGGGGAGATTACAGGCCGGTAGCCCCAGCAACTGTAGTATTAAAAAAACAGTTCACATTATTGGGGGGGGGGGGATACCTTTAATCATAATTGAATCACACCCACTGCCATCTAAAACAAGTAGGGGCCGTTGCCAAAGGATGCATTCCAGCTCTCACTTCTGATCTGAGCAGTACCTTAAGCAGAAGAGATACTTTCATGAATGCCAGCAATGGTGCAGGAGCTTCAGGTGGCAAATGTAGGTTTAAATTTCTCCACCCGAGTCTGCTAAGGCGCCGGTCACACGAGAGGATTTGGGCCGGGAGAGGGACGGATCGGGGGCGGAGCAAACAGGCGCGATCCCACCGCAACATCTGGGAAGCGTTGCGCGCCCGTCCCCGATCCGGCCCTTCTGACGATAACCCGCAGCAAAAAAGAACCACCTACCGAGGTGGTTCTTTCCAAAAGGCTGCATCAAAGCCGGCCGTGGGATCACCGGCGCGTTCGTCCACCGGCGCATCCCCGGCTCCTGGCCGAACTGCGCATGCTCAGACATGCGCAGTTCGGCAGCCTCCCGTGGCTTTCTCCCTGGTCTCCCCGGCATCTGATCGGGCCGGGGAGCAATTGCACAGCGGCTCACGGGATCTGTATGATCCCGCCGCTGCGTGCCTATTTTGGTGCGGCTTTTAAAAGCTGCACTTTGCCCGTCCTTTTCCCCCCGTGTGGCAGGGACCTACGTCAATTTCATTAGCACATTCTTCCAAGCCCCTCCTTCGGGAAGTGACCTCAGTCCTTAGACAGGTGCTGCTGCACAGGCATTCTCTTCCCAGTGTATGCCAGAAAAGAAGCCACCTAACAGCGCTCATTGGTTTGCCCCTCCCACCTGCCCACCTATTTTTGCAACCACTGACGGCAGAATGTTGTATCAACAATTCCACAGTCATGTAGCTGATCTGAAGGGAAGCACAGGCCTTGTGCTTGCTAAGCATGCAACTATCACTTTCAGGTTGAGTGCAGCTAGCAGCAATGAGGCACCAAAGGCCAGGCAATGCTAAAGGAAGGCACCAATCCAAGGTAAGGAATACAGTGGGCCTTTTATTATGACCTAATTTCCCCACACTTTGGATGCTGGGCACTTAAGTGTCATGCATTTCCACAAGTTAAGCACTAATTTAAGTCTCTCCTATTCAAACCAACTGAATTCAGAATGCTTCACTTTGGCTATTTGGCCCACAGCAGCTGAACATTGTCCTTTCCAAGGCACCCAACTTGCCTTCCCTTAAAATTGCTCTGGGGAGATGCATCCAGAAAGATGACCAAGAGCTGGGCAAAGCTATAGTGTTATACTTTTCATATATGCACATGTGTGTGCGTGCGTGTGTGTGTGTGAACCTGGAAGTCATGGAGACCTCTGGTGACTGACTCCTACTGGGGGCCTGGAGGATATTCAGAGAAGTGGCTGAATAAAGCCTGCCCCCACCTCTCGACTGCTGGTATTCCAAGGAGGTCTCTCTTCCAAGTACTTGCCAGGGTCGACCCTGCTTAGTTTCTCAGATCTGATGAGATCAGGCTTGCCTGGGCTATCCAGGTCTTTGCCAAAGCCTACAGTCTTGATTACTTTCAAGATCAGTGGATCTGGCCCCTCACCATCATCTTCAAGCACCTTTCATTCCTATGTATTGCCTCATCCTGGAATTTTAACATTGAGTTTTCAGACATACTGTTCATAATTTTAAGGTTACATGCACTCTAATTAGTTCTGTGCAATGTGTTTCATAGGGGTGCAGGGACACCTTGGAACAGGATATTAAAGAGCTCGGTTACAAGATTCTAATAAGAAAGTTAGCAAGGTGCTCCAGGTGAACGCTGTGTAGGTTCAATGGTGCACATTCCACATTAGCCTCCCCCTTAAGGGGGAAAAAACTCAATAGTGCTGAACAGGATCCACTATAATAAGGGATCATGAGAAGTGATATGAATTCTCCACTCTTTCATGCACTTGTTAGTATCAGGAAAAGTAACCAGCCTCTATGCTTATTATTTGTAGTGTGCACTGTTCTCTGTGAAGGTTATTAGAATGTGGTGGACAGTATTTGCAGAGGCTAGCTATGTCGTTCAAGCTATGCCACCAAAGACTTCTTTAGGCTATTTTTTGGTGGTATATGGACGTTGCCAAACACCACCCAAGATAGTAGCATACAAAGAGCTCACTACGGTCTGCCCCATGAAGCAAGGCATTCATGTAAAGGTCTACAACCTGTGTGCCAACCCCAAGACAAAAAGCATAAAACTTCAGACACTGGAAGTGACCCATAGTACAGTGATACAGAAGCAGTAACATCTTTACCTTTGAACCATCTCCCTTGCTTTGGGTTCAACTGCCTTGAACAGAAAGTTAAAGTGAGCAAATCAAAAACCAAAGCACATACAGGATAATTTTACTCTGTAATTTGTTATTAAGGGGGAAAAAACACCATGGTCGTCTTTTGATAGACTTAATTAGTAACAGAGCTGGAGATTGCAATTAGAATCCCTTCATACTGCACAGCATTCTCCAAGAAGGATAATTGTGAGAGTTTTAGAAATTCTTCAGAAAATGGATATATTTGGAAACTACTAATTTGGGGTGGACGCATTGTACTGTTGCAAATTACAATGAAGCTGATTGTATTAACGGTGGATTCCTTTACAACGAATCTTGCCCCCTTTCCCAAGAAGCCTAATGAACACATGAAGGAGTCTGAATGCTCTACCACTATGGAAACAGATCGAATCCCCCCCCTTTAAATTAGATTGAAGATGTAGGTATCAAAGACATACCATATATCAAACTAATTCAGCAATACATTCCCCTGAAGCAAAGAACTTCTCTTAAAACACTTGCATGAGATAAGAACATGACAATTGTTCTTTGCCTGCAATATGCTCTTTCTGAAGTGACTGGTAGGTCAACATCTGTCCTATGTTACAAAGAAACTAATCATCAGTGGAAAGATGGAAACTTATCCAAAAGTACTCAGGAAAGCCAGACTAAAACAATACAGAAAGTTCCAAATGGCCAGCTGTGTTCGTCTGCAGCATTCGATATAGAGAGAGTCCACTGGAACCTCAATGACTAACAAGATTTACTGCAACAGAAGCTTTCCTGAGTCAGAGTTCATTCGGTCAGATGCATGTAGTATTCACTCCATGCACCTAAAGAAGTGAGCTCTTATGAAAACCCTATGCTGCAATAAACTATGTTAGTCACTTATTCTCTGTGGGGGGCTGTCTTGTGGATGAGCCTGAAACCTTCCTTCTCTCTGACCCTCTCCTCTACCTGCATTCATACTGTGCAGATGATGCATCTGCATGTTGACTCACTGTGCAGGAAGGTATGTTAAGGTATAATATCCAAAGGGGCTGTGGTAGCTCAGAGGTTAAGACACTGAGCTGCAGACCAGAAGGTCTGTAGTTCAGCGGTTTGAGACACGAGTGCCGCATGACGGAGTGAGCTCCCGTCTCTGGTCCCAGCTCCTGCCAACCTAGCAGTTCAATAAATAGGTATCACTTAGGTGAGAAGGTAACAGCATTCCATGTGCCTTGCCAGCCACCTGACCATGAAAACGTCTTCGGACAACATTGGCTCTTTGGCTTGGAAATGGAGATGAGTACCGCCCCCTAGAGTCAGATTCGACTAGCTTTCAAGCAAGGGAAACCTTTACCTTGACTATAATATCCAAGAGATATAAGGTTTCAAAAGAGAAATGGCAGTTTAGAAATACAGGACAGTTAGGGATACAGGACACTTTGCTTGTAACATGGGCAGAAATTCTTGGCATCTTTAGTGATGATGACTGTATGGAAAAAGCTGGGAAGACCCTCCGTCCAAGATTCTGAAGAGTCATGGGCTGCATTACAGTCCTTGTTACCCAAGTACAAGGATCCTATCCTCTATTGTAATAGAAGTATTTGACCATTTCCTTTGTTCAACTATAACTACTAAGGCGGAACTCTGCAGCAAGGACAAATGCATAAGAAAAAGGT